GTGGATGCCAGTAATTTAGAGATTAATATGTTTTAATAAACATACTCACACACACACACACACACACACACACACCATTTTCATCATTTTGAAAATGCCCAGGTAAAGCCTAAGTTCCCATCATATTTGATAATTAGGAGCTCAAATAAATAAAAAATGATACACATAGAAACAGAGTATAAAGAAGAAATGTGGTCCAATTTTACAAAACACCAGTATAGTAGATTCATGGATAAAGAGAACACATAGAGGGACTAGAGGATGATTTTAATTAATAATACCTTATAAAAAATAAAACTCACAAACATATTTGAGTACATTAATGAGAAAACATAACCTAAATTTAAAAATTAAAGCAACTCAGTAAAACAGAATGATTATGTTTTTACATATGAGAATATTGTCACAGATAAGCATATTAAGACATCTAACATTAAAACTCTTATCTCTTTTTTCATATATATATAGAGAGAGAATTTGAGAGAACTTTGCATTGTAACACTCTTTTAGTTGTAAAATAATGTACTTACAGATATAGTAAGAGAATCCTGAATTATTGTCTTATACGTGGACTTGCCAAGGATACTAACAGAAGACAATTTTACTTTTTCTTACCTCTCCTGTTAATACTAGCTACTGAGAAATACAAAATTATTAACATGATCATCGAAAATCCAATAGTAACTGTCAACTTGCGGCCAATTAGAAGCACCTTCACTCCTCAGGTGGAAGGTACTGACTTGCTGTTTCAATCCTACTTGCTCTCCTTTCTGGCCCTTTCAGAATGAGTCACTGGGGTAGCACAGGGATGTTTGGGCAGTAAAGTGTTAAGACTACCAGATTTAAATCTGATCTTCTGACTCTTTCTCTCCTAAGATACTTTTATGGATTCCTTAGAAATACCCATCTCAATAGGGACCTCTGATTATATTTTTTTTGGAGCTGAAAATGGCTCCTTCCATCTGGCTGGAAACTTGCATTAGCTCCATTGCCTTCAACATCTGTGTCTAGAAATTTATTCCCAGGCTCATTCTGAAGTAGTTCTTTTGTGGCAGAAAGCCCTCTAGATGTGAGATCATCTTAGGACATCCTCATCCTCCATCATTCTGAATTGATGCAGTGGAGCCTGGCTCCCAACAAACCAGTTTTGCTAGAAGTCAACTACCTGTTTCTGTGTGCTCCAAATCACAGTGACACAAGTCAAACTCTGTGAGAAGTTATGAAGTCTGGGTGCACCTTGAGACAGCACCCTTCCCATCTCCAAAGAGGGCAAGGGCCTGAGACTGGCAGCTTCTGAGATGACCCCCATTAAACAGCATGTCAGCTTTTCTTCCCTATGTTTCTCAGGGAAACTTCTCATTTTGCAACCACACAAAAACAGATTTTACATTAGAAGCTGGACCTTCTGTATTGATTTACTGCTGTTTTGCACTGATGGTCCAAAATCAAGTAACGAGCACCGATGTTTTCTGTCTTTATGGAACAAGGGATGTCACAGGAAAATAAAACAATACATGATGTTTGGTATCTTAAGTTTTGCTATGCAACAGATTAACATTTCTTATACAGTGTTTCACAGTAGGAAAACCAGAGAAAAAAGAAATAAATCTCCAATCATTCAAATATGTCGCACCACACCTAAGCCAATTACAATAGAGGTTCTCATTCGGTATTGCCAGCCCTTCCTGCCTTCTCTCCCTTCTTTTTTAGCCTTTCCCTGATTTCCATTCATTGCAATTTCCTGTGACATTTTTTTCTTTATTTTTTCAATTCTTCTTTCTGAAAAAATGACTGCCATACAGAGTTCAAAGAGCTATTTTCATTGCAGTCTAGACCATTTCTTCAGTGTATGGCAGTAAATTGGCTTAGAAGGTACCATATGAGCTGGGTGAAGAAGATCCCAGCAGAAATCTGTTATTCCTCAAATGATCTCTACCCACACCTTTGCACAGGAAGTCATATTCATCAATGCCATCTCCATGCACGGTAGACAACTCTTATCAATAAAAAATAAATGAAAAGATATAAAAGATTAAGATGTTAGCTTAAAAATGCTAACATACTAATAAAATTATTTCTTTGTGGGATGTGTGCCCCATATTCATAAATGTGAAGTTGAGGCATATTTTCAGAGAGGAAATATAGGATATTATTACTCTTGCTGGCACTAATCTTACAGTTTAATGTCAATATACAGTATTTAAATTTTTATAAATAAAATCTAATACAAAACTACTCCTCTATCCTAAGATATGACTGGAGTTTTCCCATTTTCTGCCAATGATACTCCTGTGGATACCCCCCAACACACACACACACACACACACACACACACACACTAGCCCCATTGTACTACACATAGCTTAGGGAATGGGCAATTCTTTTTTGCATTCTCCAACTTCCCATGTCAGTCTTCATCCTCTCACCTATGTCCTCTTCCATTCTCTGCCATTCCCCCAGACACACACTAACATATTTGCACATGCATGCATCTTGTATGCATAGTACTTAGCATGAGCTTATAACATTTATTGAAAAGATGAATGAATACATGGGTGAGTGAATAAAAGTAAAATATGGGTTTTATTGTTAAATTATGACAGAATGGAGTTGGAATGCAGGTAAAAGGCACTGTGAATGATCGCCCCAGTTCCCTGGGCCATTTTATTCCTTTGGATGCATTGTAAGAATTGGAGTTTCAATGATCTACTGTGTCCACTCCCTCCTCCATACTATTTTCCAAACTCTTGTTTGATTATTTGGCTTAACAAACTATAACTTCCTTTGTTATAAACCACCCATTTCATTTGTTCACTGGCACATTAAATTTTATTATTGTATAGCTTCAACTTAATTGTAGGAATTATTTCTTATTCATCTTATTCCAGGCTCCTACACAGCTTTTGATATATGAAAGACACTTAATGGAAGGGGTTTTGAATGAATGAAAATCTCACCTGTACCCTGTGTTCTTAATTTAATCACTTACTACTACGAGGACCTCAAATACACTGTCAACTCCCTCCCCAGTCATCCATTTAGTCTATTTTGAAGACCTCTGTCCTATCACCACTGTCATTGAGAGTGCTCAGTACATCACAATAAACTGAATGTTTGTGTGCTCCCCAAATTCATGTGTTGAAACCCTAATGCCAAAGTGATGGTGTTAAGAGGTGGGGCTTTTAGGAGATAAAGATCATGAGGGTAGAGCCCTCAGGGATGGCATTGGTGAGTAGACACCAGAGAGCTAGCTTTTCTTCTCTCCAACATGTGAGGAGACAAGGAGAAGACCATTTGAGACCTGAAGAGGACCCTCACTAGAATCCTACCATGTTGCACACTGATCTCAGACTCCCAGCCTCCAGGACTATGAGAAATGCATTTCTGTTTTTTTTTTTTTTTTTTTTTTTTTTTAATGAGACACCTAGCCTAGGATGTATCAGTACAGCAATCTGAACTAAGACAAAATCTCACTTGGGCTATTGAAAGTATTTCTTAACTGTTTTCTGACAAGACCCTTATAGATAGTATCTCTAGGTTTCATTTCTTAAAAAGAAAAAATAAATAAATAAAACATATTACTTTCCAGATTGAAAACCTCTGCTGATTACCTGATGGGCATAGAATAAAATCCAAGCTTCACAGAATGATAGGCAAGATATTTTAGACTCTGGTATCATTCTATATCATGTTTTTCCACTTTCCTCAATGCTTCTGCCATACTGAACTTCGAATTGCTCAGCACATGTGGCAATTTCCCCTTGCCTGCAAGTCTTTATACAAGCTTGGAAGCTTTTTTCCACCTATGATTTTGGGGCAGACTTAGTTATCCTTTAAGAGGCAACTCATGTGCTAACACAGTGGTAAGACTTTGCTGCTTCTCGCAGGAAGTTTGTCATGCTCCCTTCCAAGATTCCACAGGGTTGGTTCCTATCTCTTAATGACACTTATCATGTTGCACTATTTTTATAATAAATAATAATAAAAATAGTGCAACATGATAAGTGTCATTGTAGGCCTCTTCTATTATACCATAGTAAACACTTTTATTGCAGGGACTGTCTCTCCTTCCCACAAAGAGTGACCAGTTGTAAGTACTTAGAAAAACATAATTAAACCCATAACCAAAGGAATTAATCCTCTTAACAGTATTCTTAACTTAAACTAAATATCGGATATTGTATCAAATTTTAATTTGGCAAAGTAAATGCTCCCCCATCTAAATTAAATATGACTCTAAATTATAAAACAAAAAGATTTTCTTCCTTTTCTTTTCAATTACAGAAGTACTTTTGATTAAAGATACCAACATTCCCAGGAAGTTGGCTGAGAGTGTTAAAAGGAGATGATAATGAGAATATTGTTGTTTCTTTTTCCACTTAAGAAGTAAGATCATCAAAAAATAAAATGTAAGTAATATGAGTGCAAGAAAGTGCAATTTATTTCTAGCTTAACGTCATTTGCTAATGTCTATTTTCCCTTCCTCCTGTCCACTTCCTGTATTTCCCCTCCCTTGACTCCAACTCTCAGTGCTGGACAGTTTTAGCTGCAAATCAAGATAGGGCAAGGAAAAGAAGGGATTTGAAGGTTAGTAGCAGAACACAGCTTTCCAGATTACAATGGCAAAATAATTTGCTGTATCAGATTTTGCATCAACCAATGAGAATTTTATCCTAGACATATATGCACTTCAATGTAATACACATTGATGTTTGTTCTGCTTTTACATATTAGTACCATTTCCAAGGGCACAGAAAAGATACTCCAGTAGCTCTTAGGCACTATCATTTTCTCATCCTGAGTGACAGTCAAGCAAGGAATTTCTTGTCCTCTTTTTGCATTGATTTTCAGTGGAAAGGTTAGAGAATTCTAGGTAAAACAGATTAGCAAAAAGATTCATCTATACAAATCAGGAGTTGATGAAATAAAAGGATATTGTAGTGGAATTGGACTCATATAAAATTTCCCAGCATTGCTAAATAACTGTGAAACTAGGGTAGTTGTTTACTCCGGGCCTCAGTTTATTCTCCAAAATTGAAGAGGATGAGTCATATGGACATTCTTTTCTGTTACAATCAGAGAGCCAGACTGAAGAAAGTGCAGAATTCCATTAATGGGTAAAGGGGTAGTACATATGGGAAAAAAAATCTGAACACAATAAAATTCAAGCTTAGGTAAATGAAAGCTAAACATATAATTGCCGCATAAAAATTGAGGTTGAATTCTCATTCTTCCAATCTTCAATTACAGTCCAAGCTGGTGATTATTTGAGTATAAATGTAGCTACCGGGGGAAAAAAACTGAATTATTGTCTATTAGACTTTTTAAAATGACAAAACTGTAACTGCTTATGTCAGGCTTCTTGTTTGTACCTGCACATGTGCATGACGCCATGTCCTTCTGCAATGCCTTCCTGTCCTTTACATAATTTTGATTTTTATTAGTAAAACAATTAACTCCCTTTCATAGAAAGGGAGGATATGTCTGCCCTCCTAGAGAAGCAAATTATCTGACTTGAGTCCATTATTTCCATAAACAAGTGGAAGAATTTTTATTACATTGTCTCTTTAACAACTGCAGACTGAGAACACGGAGTATTTCTGACTTTTCATCTTAATTTACCCTTTTCTCTCCTTAGGTGAGTCAAGCAATAGAAGGAATATCTACTGGATCCTAGTCTGCATTTCTATCCCCAAGATGATCTGTGACCTTGGTTGTAGAATCAGTTCTGAAGGTTCCCATCTGCAAAGCTGCACTGGTTAATCAGCTGAATCCAAAACCCAATACATCTGCTTGTTCTTATTTTTAGACTTTATTTCCCTAAATGAAATAAATGAGAGTAATATTAGTTACATCAATGACACTACTAAAGCATTCATTGAGTTTCAATAATAAGAGTAACAATAACAATAAAATTTTATAGCTCTTTTTCTCAAAGGAAATTAGAACACTTTACCAACATTATTGTCTCATTAATCCTCATGTCTTTGAAAAATAGAGCAGTGTGGGTGGATGGAAGCATATGAGATGGGGGGGGGAGTCAGCCAGACCTGTTTTCCATTTACCTACCTGGAAATCATTTAGGAAATGAGTAAATGAGATAATGTGCATAAAGTACTTTCTTGCATGGTAAGCACTGTACATATAATTCTCTCTCCTTCTCTATCTCTCCTACCAGCCATTGCTTCTCTGACATTCCTTTCTCATTCTCCCTTATCCTATGATAGTTCAAGCTAAGACAAGTTTATTGGGATTATGGGGTTCTGTGTTTTTCAAGGGGAATTTTTGGCCCAAAAGTATTCTGATTCCTTCTGAGAGAAAAAAAAATTATAAAAGTTTACTATTGTTTAACTGGCATAGCCTGGACAATCCTAGCTCCTGCTTTCAGCAAAGTCTTTAGGTGTAGGATACATAACTCATCACTTTCAGCATTATTCTTCTTAGGTTAAAATGAGTCTTAAGTTTGAGACTTAAGATGTTAGACCTTGAGCTTCTGGGTGGAGAAAAAAAATCTGTGAGTGGAAATAGGCCAAAAACTAAAATGGGATAGACATAGAATTCCAATCATCTGAACTATAATTCCATGCATGCCAGATTCTCTCTATGCATGTCCCTGTGGTTGCCCAAATGCCTTTGCAACAGTGCTGACTAAATGTTGTAGCCTTATCCTTGGAGTATCATGGGAAAGACTGCCTGCCCCAGCTGGGTCAAGATGGTAAGCAGAGAGCAATATATTCGAGGCCAGGGAGGTTGTGTTGGTCCTGCTGGTGGTAGGTTAGGAGGAATGGTAACAAAAGCCCTCTACCTTCTGAGGTAGAGTATCTTGGAATTCTATCTTTAAGATTCAACTGGCTTTTGCTCAGCCCAGAAACCTGAGTGGCGATTTCCTCTGCATTTCTGATTTATGATGAGGTTTTTTGTAACTTCAAAAGTAGTGAGGGTTTTGTAACTGCAAAATGTGGAATTTTATCCTCTGGGAAGTAGTAGAATGCTTGTCATTTTGAGATGCATGTGGACAGAATAACATTCAAAAAAGAAACAGTTACAACTTTGCTAGGACTTTGCCCAGAGCAAGAATTATTAAATGTCTGTGTTTCTTCAGATATACACATGGACTGCCAGACACACCAGGAAACATTTAGATTTGTGGGATACTAAATTTTATGATGTCTTGGTAACTCATGGCTTTAGGGGGAAAATCATGGCTGTAGGAGTTATCTGAATCTTAATGGACTTGTGATGTCCTGTCACTGGCTTGAGGACCACTTTCAATCTCTGTAAGAACTGAGCTCATGCATGCACACAGAGTGAAATGACAAGAAACACAGCTTCTGGTCAGAAGGAACAGGGATGCAGTGAATAAGCTTTTAGAAAAGCATTAGCAAAGGGGACTAATTTATGACATAGTATTTTAAGATGCAAATTTGCATAGTTTGGCTCAAATAATCACATAGGAAGACAAAAATAATGTTGTAGGATTACAAGATTGTAGGTTTTAAAGATGGGGGAGCAAACGAAAGGGTGATTGCATTTTAAAGCATATAGCAAAGCCCAACCACGTAAAATTCGGCAAAAGAAAAGCTGGACTGAACCCTGGGACGTTTTCTCAACAGGGAGATGTATTACTGAGAAGTCAAATCTCCCCAGGGTTGCTGTAAATGCTTCACTACTCATGTCATTTCACATGAAATACATAAAGCTACTGCAGGAGGTGGAGCAGGTGACCTGGCAAGTCTCCTGTCTCTAATTTCTGTGATTTAAAGGTTTTGTGCTATTACCCAGCAAGAAGCACTGCTTTTTAGTGATTCCATTTGTAAAATGACCCTACATGTGTTTTCTCTCAGCTTCCACCTTTGTGGAACTATTTTTTTTTTCCTTTTCCCACCTTATTCAGTGAGATTCAGATTATAGTATTTGGCATCAAAGGTGTAGAAGAAGGGTTAAACAGAAGTAAATGTTTGCTTACTAGCAAAAAAAAAAATTAAGGGGGGAAACCTGAGGAAAGGTAAAAAGATCACGACCCACACTAGCGAGTGTCACTGCCTCTAAATGGAATTTTGATTTAGATGCGACATTCCTGTAAGAAAAGCTATATGGAGTGCAGAAAAACTGCACATTAATCTTCTTTTTGACAGCACAGAAGTAAAACAAACAAAGGTGCTAATTTAACACTGGCTTCTTCAGGTTCTCAGATTGTAATTTAACTCTCTAAGGAGTCACAGGGTAATGACAAACTTTGGATAACACTGAGCATTTACAACTCCTTAAAAGCTTTTTAGACAATTCGGGAATGAAATCCTTGTATGTCATTTACATGATCTATGCAAAGCTTTATCTTTCTGTCCAGATGGACCTGGAGTCACAAGAAGAGAAATCTTCAGAAAGTAACCCTAGCTGGGTTTTAATTTTAAGTGCAGGGTCATGTCTGAACCTTTCCTCCTCTTTTGTGAATGGGGCACACTATGAATAGAAAATATGGGATACTCAAGGCTGTACTCTGCTGCCGCAGAATTCATGGTTGATTGTGGGTTTCCAGAATAAAACATTTGTACACGGATTTGAATGCAGTGACTTAGAATGGAACAGCATTAATTACCTACTAAGACAGAATCTATTATTACAGAAGTATTGGGTCTCCAGGCTAAAAAAAAACAATCCACACAGAAAAAGGAGAAAAGCAGTACAATATCTCTTCCCATCCACTCTCCCATCCTATTTTTTCTTTCTGCTATATTCTCAGACATTGTCTCAAAAACATCATCCAATTTAGAAATCTTGTTCTAGGAAAGAAAACACAGAACAAGCAGAGGAAGAAAAATAGTTATTAGAATAAGACACACAAAGGCTTTTGTTTTCCTCAGGAATTGGATGGAACTAAGAAACTTCGAGCTTTTGCTGAAGAACAGGAATGCCATTCCCCCTCTGCTGAAGCTTGCAACTCTTGACTCTGCAGCTGATATTAATTGTATGTGTACTCTTTCTATAATGGATCTACCCACTGATTCACATTCTCTGTGTCCTTAAATTTTTCTTGTGGGTGTATTTTTCCATTTACTTTCCCTGGCACTTAGTATTTAGCTACTTATAGCATTTACTTTGCAATTCTGTAACTAACTAAAATACATTTATCTTCCCACAAAGAATATGTGTGTATGTATGTATATATTCCTAATCAGCACAGAATTGCTGATTTTTAAAAAAAATGTTTGTTGAGTGAAGAAAATGAATGAATAAAACTGTCAACAAATACATCCCTGTTTATTAGTATTGGGACTAGAATAAATATCAAATTCTCTGAGTACAACCCAGGGCTGAGATTATATCTTTGAAATAATCTTGAATTATTCTTACAAATATACTTATTAAGAACTTGGAATGTATGGTGTTAGAAAAGATTATGCTGAGTGAAGTTAGCCAATCCCCAAAAAACAAATGCCGAATATTTTCTCTGATATAAGGGGAGTGGGGAGACTCAAAGTGGGATAGGGAGGGAAAGCATGGGAGGATGATTATTTCTAGATAGGGAAGAGGGGTGGGAGGGAAAGGGAGGGGGAAGGGGAATAGCAAGGATGGAGGAATGTGATGGTCATCATTATACAAAATATATGTAAGAAGATTTGAAGCTTGTGTCAGCATACCTTATATACAAAAAGAGATATGAAAAGTTGAGGTATATATGTGTATTAATAATTGTAATGCAAAAAAGTACAAGTATAATAGCATAATTTGGCATGAACAAACTTTATATACAGAGTTTTGAACAATTTTGCTGTAAATGGGTAATAATGAGTGTAACACATTCAACTATTGTCATGTATGTAAAAAAATAAATTAAAAAAAAAAAGAACTTGGAAATCCATTGCTTGAAAACTTTTTAAAGTGAAAAACTTAAGGCTTTACAAAATATTCCATTTATTTTATGTACAACTGTTATAACTTTTATGTAATATTCATAGCTGATATATGTTCTTAGAAATGTCCACACATTAATATTAGTTCTGGTATGTGAATCTTTTCAGAAAAAATTAATTTCCATGATGTTAAGAAACAAGACAAAGATGTTGTCACTGTTGTTAATAATATTCAACACTATATCAAAACCTCTAGCCAAGACAAGGAAAGTAAGGAGAATAAAAAATGACAATAAAAATACAAAATCACCCTTAAATTAAAAAAAAATTCATAAAAGTTTTACATTAATCTGTTATTTGAGCTCATAAGAAAATTCAACAGTTGCTTATAAAAATATCAACAATCATTAATTCAATATAAATCAGTAATAAATGCATAGAAAATGCAGTTGACTGGGTATTATGTTTACAATATTCACAAACTATTAATAGACCTTAGGATCTATTTGCTTTGTTTGCAAAGTAGAGATCTATTCTTTTTTGCTAACAGAAGTCTGATGGTGAGCAGATTCCTATTTCCCAGTAAAAGAACACCATTCCCACCCAGTGCAGGGGTCAATTCCAAAAAGCCTAAGACAATCACTGATTTTTACCATATGGAGCCTTGTTTGTCATTGATTTCAGGGTAACCATCGAGATAGAGTGGAAATGTGATGTTCTTCCTCAGATTTGTTTGCTCCTAAAGATCATGCCAGTAACTTTTCTACTAGTTTTTTCCATGTTTCTATGTGAATGCCTGTGTGGTAGCCACCCAGTGACAAAGAGAGCAATAAGTCAAAAGACAGAAGAGAAATGTGAAACATGGTTCATCAGAAAGATGGAAAAACCCTGCATCTGTAATGATTACTGAAGCCACTGAATTGACAAAATGTTTAACACAAGTACTCTGTAATTCTTTTTTTTTTTTTC